ATAGTATAGTAGTAGTAGTATATATATATATATATATATATATATATATATATATATATATATATATATATATATATATATATATATGTAAGTACCAAGAATATCTGCAAACAACGAAGCAACAACCTGAAACAGTATTTTTGCAAGTTTCTAGTTCATCCAATGACATGACACTTCGAAACTGCTGCTTAATGATATCCATGACGGTAATTTTCTTCGAAGGATGCACGGGACGGAAATAGACTAAGGACTGCAATGTCGGACACTTCTTCCCGATCACTGCGATTTTCGGCAGAAGTTCTGCTGATGTTATCAGCAATGTCGAATCAGTTTCGTTGATTGCTTGAGCTATTGCCTGCAAAGGGTAAGAGTGAGAAAAGACTAGATTGGAATCTATCAAATAAATGTCAAATCTGACAAAAACACAATGGTTCCAGTACTCTCAAGAGGTAGTTTCAGCCAATCCTTTACGACAATTTCAGTATCTGAATGCATGGCCTTATTTTATTTCAACCAAACATCAATACGCAGATTAGTCATACCTCTTCACCGAGGGTTGCATATACTGTTACAATTGGTACATTAATTCTGAAGAGAGAGAACGCAGTGATGAACCAGTCAGCTCGAGTTTCCGAAAAAATCACCGCCTGAAAAGAAGTTATTTTCGAAAGGTAAGTGAATGCATGAAACTCATTAATTTTAAAATACATAAAGAACTCACTCGACTATCATTTTCCACCATATTTTTTAGACCCGAAGCTATTCGACCAATTTTTTCATGAACCTCGGCAAAAGTTTGCCAATTATAATTACCCATCACCCACTGAAATTCGAATTTTTATAGAAATTTTCTAGAGTACAATTACTAACTCCGAAGACACAAAATATATCAAAGAATACATTTTCATCGAAGATTTTCGTCAAAGGATACATTTTCACTGACTTCACTATTTAGCAAGAAAATGTAAGTACTGAGAAGCACTTCTTGCATTTAATTCAAACAACTGAATCTTTTTCTTTCCAACAAAATGTCTAGAAATTTAAACTTCAGCAGAATTCTACTTTTTCGAATATACGTCCATTTGGCTGTTTTTCTTCGTACACTTCCAGCAGTTCTCGGGTGCCTAACGCCGGTATGTCACCATGCAGCATTGCTACATATGTAAATAGTTTATCAACTGTATCTACACCAGGGAAATCTTCAGTGACTGGACCATCAACGTTAATCCATGGGCTATCAGGATCCTTGATTGGCCTTGCCTAAATATGTGGGATTCAAATGACAGAGATGAAACTATATAATGTAAAAAGCATGAATTTCTAGTTCCGAATGTAATTCCATCGATTATACTAGTTAAGTGGTATGTAAATGCAAATATCAGTGAGAGATTCATAAACCAAACAGTCTTATAAAGTAGGAAATAACAAACCTTTATCCTTTCACTTCGTTTTAATTTAGCAGTGGGTGAGTTGAATAACTCATATGGTATATAGTTCAAGCAGTCATATATAAAAAACCATGCACGTAACAGAAGAATAATTAATTGAATCCATAATGGTGAAGTTCCCTGAAACAATTATTGCAGATGATCCAGTAAAAATATCCGAAAAAATTCAATCATTATCTTTCTTTTTTCTTCTTTTGTTTTAAGGTTGAGTATGCCCACCAATATTATCATTACATTAAAACAATTCTGTTCTTTCTCTCTTAATAAAGAAGAGCTAATTAACTGAATTAACTGAGAATCATTAACTGATAAATTTATTAGTTCGAGGAATAATAAGAACCTGCGGATGCATATACCATTTTCAAATCTTCATATTTGATACTTTCAACTAGAAGAAACTGTCCATTCTCATACCAACTAACACCATTTTATAATGTACTTTGTTCATAACTGATTATAAAGTTATCATTTCACACTACTGATTGTTTGGAGTTGGGGATTTTAAATGACTTTTATTTCAGCAAAATTGAGACTAAAAATTGCCTATCATGAACAATGAATGCTTAATTCCAGTGCAATAAAGAAATCTTTCATTTTGAAATTTAATGATAGCACTGAGTTCAAAACGAATGAAATTCAAATTCATATTCGTTATTGAAAGTAAAAACTTGAAATTAAACCGTATTCTTAAAAATGACTGGCTGCTTTATGATAAATCTCAATAACCCATTTATTAAAGCACGCCATTGTTGTCAAGCCGGTAACAAAGTCCCCGAGCAGCTTACCTCCACTACAACATCTATACGTTAGTGAATCAATTTTGGTTTAATCATTTGGTTCTTCACTCAAATTGCGTAACTTTGCAAAGCACATCTTTTCACTTCATCTCAAACTCAAAAGAACGAATGTTTCCATTTTTCGCTGTATTACTTTTCTAGTGGTCATCATTACCATTCCCAACCCACTTACTACCAATTCCGAAATAACATTTTTTGTCCTTCTTCAGTTTGTACAATTTACAGTTGGAATTAATCAAAAAATATGTTCTTGGTATTTCCTTAAAATTTGTAAAAAAAATTTCCATAGTCAACAAACCCCATAAATTTGGACTTGTCCAGAACACGTAATTCACATTTCACAATGCAGCCATTCTTTGCTTTATAGATGAATATGATAAACAACAGAAAAGAATGCCAATGATAATAATGCACTCTTGCTGTACTTGCATTACTACTTATACCAAAAAAAACAAAAAACAAAAAGTAAAAAATGAAGTGGAATACCTTTATAACTTTGTCAATTGTTTCTTTGCTATCACCATGATCCTCACCCATATGCTTAAAACGTGCTTTTCGATCTGCTATCATTGCTTTTCGATCCATTATCTTTGCGAAAAAAACACACACACAAAATAAAATACACCCCAAAAAAAGCCTGTAAAAGTAGGAAGAAAATTTTCACATCGTGCTACCGCAATTCGATGAAACCGCGAAAAAGAAAAGGAAGAGAAATAACTGATTCATTCGATTTTTATTTAATGTTGTCACTTATTCTTTTCATTTTACAAAAATTATACAAATATATAATGAAAACATATATACGTGTAATACATTGTTATGTTACAAAGAAACCAGTTGCAAACATTTATGTATAAATTAAACTAAATGACAAAAATTCTCCCAAAAAATAATCATTTCTCTCATCAAATGTCAAAAATCGAAATGCTCATTCTTCCCAATCACATACTGCTATCATTTAAAAAGTAAATCAATTAAACATTTTGTTTAAAATTTCCGCTTGCACTAATTTAACTGCTTAGGAAACATAATGAAGTTTGCCTTAGTAATTAATAAATCGAACAATTAAGTAAGCATTCTGCCTATTTTATTCATTTCATTGCATAAGAATAATTCTCAGATTTTTTTTTTTTTTTTTTAAAAAAAAAGTAGGAATGATAAATTATAAATTAAACTGTACGGTGTTATTTTTACCACTAAGATGATTTAACAAGTAGAGCTCATAATTAAGCGTTGATATGCAGAAAAGTTGATAAAGAAAAAATGAGGAAAATGAAAGATTAAAAAATAGATAAGAGGAAAATGAATTAATAAATATCTTTCATTATTTACAAATTATTTCTCGAATTTTGTAATAAATACAAAAATGATCAACGAAATATCGGGGGGAAAAAAAAATATTTTAGGGAGAAGAAATTTAACGAACGATAATTAGAACATAAATATAGAAAGGGAGGAGAATGAGAAGGAGAGAGAGAGAGAGGAAGGGAAAGAGAGAAAAAGCATATTTAACCATTGACTTCGTCGCTATTACTAGCTACTACTACTACTACTACCACTACCAACAATGTCTTTTTCCTTCTGTGATTGATGACCTTTCCCCTTCCTTCTCTTTCCTATCCCTCATTTTTACAATCAAGATTTAGTATCTTTGTCATTATTTCATATAAATACATTACATATATATCATTATATTGATTTAGTATGCTTTGTCTTAATTAAATCATAATTTTTTCCTCTTTTTTATTCCATCTTTTTCGCTTTTCTTTTTTCTCTTTTTAAAAGCCTTCTTTTTACCAAATATATTTTGTAAAAAAAGAAAAAGTGAAATACAAATGAAATAATTTTAAGTAGAGAGAATGGAAGAATGGTTATGATAGGTATCTTATGACAAATAAAATACTTTTCAATTTTTTTTGCGATGACTTTAAAATCGAAATGGTCAAAATGCTGCAAAATTAGTTACAATTATAAAGCAAATTAAAGTAAGCTAAAAATTTTACTATAATTGATAAATTCCTAAGTAATTAACAATTTTATTATTTCACTAATATTTATATACTATTATAAGGAAAAATTTATTGAACGATTAGCAAATGTGTTAACACTGAAAGAATTATGATTATCGAAACGAATTTAACTGAATTAAGTTGATACAATCATTTATTGTAAGATACGTATAAAAAAAAAGCTATTATTCACAAATTTTACAAAAATTAATTTTAACAAATGCTTTTCTTCGTTTCATTTCCTCAGTCAAATCGTTTTTAGTGGCAATAGGAAATATGTGACAATGAAGTGGACCATCGAAGGTCCATCATTCACTTCTTTTAGCGCCGCCACGACCAAAAATCACATCCACTTTTTTTTTCCCTTTTCCTCTCTAGTACTATCAGATTAACTTTTTGGTATCGATTGTTGTACCATCTCCTTCTCTCATTAGTCATTAAAAGAACAGTAATGATCAATATCATAATACGGTTATTATCTCTTTATTCTATTTCATAACTAATAATATGATGGGAAAAAGTATGGAATGAATTATATTTAAACTAAAAGTTGAAATCAGTTTTAATCGTTGTTAAAATTATTTTTCCAGAAAAAAAATTCAGATATAATTTTAAAAATCATCTATCGAATTTTATTAAATTTATACTATAAGAGAATAAGAAAAGGAATTATCTGTAAAGTAGATATGGAAGAGAAAAGACAAGACAAAAAAAAGATCATTGAAAGAAGAATAGAACAAATGGACCCTGAACATTGGACATTGCTTAGATCGGTTAGTAGTGTTACCACAAATAATTAGTGTGATATAGTGAAATCTTTGTACCGAAACATTTGAATTCTCTAAAAGTTTGTTTTCTTCCACTAGGATTGCTGAATGATAAAAAATTAAAGGAATTTAAGATAACCAATGATAGTAATGATAGGGAGGAATGTTTTCAATTTCTTTTTGTCTATATTAGTGTATGTTTTATTAGTGAATACGTAAAGCAGTTGAAAAATTTAATTTCAATACAAAACATTTCCCCATTACAAATTCATATACGTGGGACACAATTTGATTTAAATAGTAACCTGGAATAAGGGTAAGATGAATATGATTAATTAAATTGTATTTCAACGTTACATGTCAACTTTCAATCGACATTATGTGCTTATTTCAGTTGACAACCAAAATTAGCAATTAAGATGACCATATGAAGTGAATGCATCATAAGGATGTTGAAAAGTTGACATGTACAATAAAAAGCGTAAGAACAAAGGTCACAGTCCTCTTTGCGTATTTTTTTTAGTCAAGATTTAAATAAAATTTGAGATTCGGATTTGCTAATAAAGATTTGTTCTTCATGCAACAAATGTAATGTTCATTCATGTACTCATGCCTTTCCATATACTTTTATATGCTATATTTCTTCCCATATTTCTACTCTTCGTTTGTTTCAGCAATATTTCCAACTGAAGTTAGTATGCAATATCGAGTTGTTTTGGTCACAACGAATCAGCTGCGGATTTAGAATAGTCTTGCACACCAGAGTAAACATAATTGAAAATATTCATATTGGCGAAAATATGTTCTGAATTTCACCACTTCTTTAAGTTGGAAAATATCTGAATTTTATGAAGAAAAAAAAGAAGCATTTTCTATAGGATCCAACCTAATCATTTCATTGGAAGGACAATCGAAATGTGATGAATCTCTTCCGGAAAATCCAAACTACTTGCATCGACTTTTTTGTATAATTGATGTTTCATTTTACCATCTATCTGGAACTAAAATTAAGGCATACACAAATAGCAAAGAGAATTCTGATCAAAAACATCATTATAGTACCATGTCCTAATATGCTACCTGAAATATTGCACATTTTGGTGTTGCAATGAAAGTGAACTCCCGTAATTAATGAATATAGTTCAGTCATTAATGATTATAGCGAATATGAATGAATATCGTAAATTAATGAATATAGCATACAGTCCAATCATCCTTCACATTTATCTTTCCACTTATGCGAACGATATCCCCAATTTAACGAGTTAAAAGTTTAATATTATAGCCATTGTTTACAACTTAAAGTCTTGCAAAATAACAAACTCTGTTTACAAACCCATCGTATATCTGAAAAATAAAAATATCTAATAACAATGAAACATAAAAATACGAAATACACTAAACGGTAAAACTACCCTAACGAAATACAAGAATCCAACCTAATCATTTCATTGGGATGTAACAGGTAAATGATAATCGAAATGTGATGAATCCCTTCCGGAAATTCCAAACTACTTGCATCGGTTTTTTTGTATGATTGATGTTTAATTCTAATATCTATCTGGAACTAAAATTAAGGCATACACAAATAGCAAAGGGAATCCTGATCAAAAACGTCATTATAATCCGGAAAATTCCAAACTACTTGCACCAAATCCAACCCGATACAATATGTTGCACTGTATCATGTCAAAGAGCATAGTTTGGATAAACTATGAATTCAACACATACAAACTTTATTTGCTGTATAAATATATAAGAAGTCTAACTCGTATTGCATTTATAGATTGACTGATAGCATTGTTGAACTTTCCACTCCTATCCTATCTATTCATTTGCTTGACAAAATATAGTTCCAATATATTGCAGTCATTTGTTGAATCATTACTCCATTGTTTCTTGTATTCCAGCACCAATAACAGTGAATTATTGCTGCAAAAGGTGTAAAATCTCCTTGGGTCCTCTTTACTCCTTGTCGATTTTACTTCATTCATTACCAATTATGCTGCAAACATTCTATCCAATATATAGTATGGTTTATTTGAAGTAAACATACCATTCTTTACTACATCAAAATTTCCTATTATTGCTTAAGTTTAATAGTTGAGGCATAAATACAAGTTCGGTTCTTTTATCTAATTTTATTTTATTTTTTTTCAAATTGTCCTCAATTAGTTCATTGATTACGATGTATTTCCTGGTTTTTTTTGGTAGACCTCCTTTATTTTTTAATAGTTCTACACTTAAGTGTTCCGCATTCTCTTCTATAGCTTCAAGTTGTCACGAATTTGATAATTTTATTGACCTTCTGATATCCAGCAAATTATTCCTCGTTATTCTGGTTAGTTCCTAATTAATGAATTATATAGAAACAAACAAAAAGTACAACACTGATTATTCTCGTAGGTTAGTTACTTCCATCCCAAACTTTCTCAATTTCTGTTTAGTTGATATTGCCCATTGAACTGCAGCTTCTGATCCCATTCTTGAGATTCTGAACCTTTCGTCTCACCAAATAATTCTTCGATTTCTCCATCGATTGAATTGGTAGTCGCTACTACTTGCTAGTGGTTCACTACTACAGTAAATGAACTGAACTAGAATTCCGATTAAATTGTATCGAATTCTTCTACAATGCTACGCGTGGTTTCTTACACACATTTTCCTTCTTTTGTCCTGGCCGTTTACCGTGACCGTTACAACAAATGAAGTCAACTGTTTCACTTTGGTCAATCCATTCTACATCAATTTTCGCTTTATTGAGTTCATCTCTCCACATTGATCAAGCCACTTAAAAAGCATTCTCTTTGTCATCTTTGTCACCACTTTTTATTTTTATTTTTTGTGTTAATTGACCTTTGCCACCTTTAAGCCCTTATCTACCCAGTTAACTCTCTACCTTTATTCCTTAAATAAATACAAATAATGTAGTTCACATCAAATATGGAATGGAGACAATTTTTTATGTACACAATGTGCAAAGGCTTGATTTCCAGACAATATCTTGCAAATTTCGGACGTTCAAGCCTTGAAATCTCACCGAAATTATCGAATTCAGGCGATGACAGTTGGGAAAGGTACCTGAATTGCTTCTTACAGCTTTCGTATTCGTTATGCTAACTCCAATACACTTTCTCTCCTCAGACAATTTAAATATTAAATTATAGTCCCAGTATCTTTCGCAAAGATCCATAAAGTCATGGTTCTTCCTTCCGGTGAATTTATACTCGTAGCAATAGTGACATGTCATTCTTCCAGCTTATCGTACCAAAAGTTTGTTAGGAAATATCGAATTATCCATAACCATTATAAGTAAACATCACTGGATCCAAGATAAAAGCAATATGAGATATTTAACTCCTATTGTATTCAATTTGGCTTTATCAAAGAAATTTCCGAATCTTATCTAGTCCAAGATGATTATCTCATTGAATAACTCCACAATTGTCTTGTAAATAATCTCATGCATTACACCCAACAACACCGACCTTCTAATTACTATCGCTACAAATGAGAGGAGAATCGTAATAATGATATCAACTTCTTACGTTTCTTTACATTATCTCCCCTTTCTTTGCATTAGTTACTTCTAGTATCATTATACCAATTTGTCTTTACTTCTTTTATCGGCTGCATCCTTCTTGATCTTTACTTCTTTTCTCCAAGCTACTCTATAGGTCGTAAATCATATGCATTTGTTTCTATCGCTTAAATTGATGATGTAAAATTGTGTAATCTAGCAGGATAAAAGTAATCATTTGCACTATGTATTTTCGGCGTCTTTATACTCTTAACAATAGTAACACATCATTCTTCCAGCTTATTGCACCAAAAGTTTGTCAGGAAATATCAAATTATCCATATCACTAGTAATGGTGGATATGAACGTAACTCCTGAATCTGTTCAGTCGTTTCATTACTCACTTGTTCACATATAAGTTCTGGTCCTGTTATTGAGACATCAACTTTGTCACCTCATTGAATTGCTTCGTCAATCTTCTTGTATCTTGTAGATAATGACAAGAAAAGTTCATTGTTCGAATGATGCACCTTCCTGCTTATCAATGTCAACTGTAACGATCAATCCAGAAGAAGGAATTCTATTTCTTTTTGCTCAAACCACTTAACGATTGCATCCTCTTTGCTTTTTCTACACAACAAATACATGTAAAAATGTATCAAAAATAAAATTTGCATACAAAAAACGGTCACATCGACAGTAAATTATGCACAATCATGTTCTTGCACCTCATGAACACTCCATTTACATTCTTAAAAGTTACTGGAAAAACATTATCTCAAAACTTGCGTACACGATTTATTTATATTACCCGACTGCCTTAATTAAGATCCTTTACTTACTTGATAGGAATACTGAACAGCTGAAACTAATCCACTGCTCCCATATAAAAGATCAGATTATTCTGGACAATGATGAAGCAAAATGTGTGATAGTTAGCTAGATTAGCTAGTTATCTGCAAGATTCTTAACCAGAAGAAGAGAAAAGTCCAGCACTAAATTTCCTACCAATCGTTTTCATATCTAAATTAACCAGTCCCCATTATCCATATCTTACTCTTTAACCGCATCAAGAAATTCAACATGATTCTCCTGAGAAACAAATTTTCCATTCCATTACTTTCCCTCTCTCTTTCTCTTTCCATTTCAGACCCGGAAAATAAAGGATGGCTCTATCCTCTCTTTACACTCCTATTCCGAAAAAAAATTAGTCATTCCTATCCATTCCCTACAATTTGGGAAGTCGAAATATTCTAAGGCAAACATTTACCGGATAAAATGGAAACAAAGCAATCAACTAAATCCGGTATCAAATCTGTCATCCGGCATCAATCGAACCTACCGCAACTCGCACTTAAGCCGGTGCTTATTTTGTTTATTCTTTAACTGTTTCGTTTACTCTCCAACCTTCTGCTCGCTAACCATGTACTCTCTAGCAAACATCGTTGTTCTTTCTTATCTCTCAAACCTCATACTATTCGGGAATATTTCAGTCACAACGATTTTCTTTTTTTCCCGGCAATTCTGCGAATCAGTTTCTGCGATTGCCCGATATGTAGTATTTCTGAATGATGTCTCCGCGGGGGGTAAATTTGTCCGTGAAATGCGGGGGTAGTCGCAGATGATTTTTGCATATTCCACAAGTTTCAGGAGTAGTTTTACTCTCCGGAAAATGGAATTAACACAGGTGTGACCATAAGAATATCAAATGGAACAATTCCGGATTAGATGAAAAGGAAAGAAAAGATTCTAAACTGTCAATAATCGGTATTAATAATCCGAATATCAGTGCATTTATCCATTTATCCAATCAAAGCATCACTAATTTGCTCAACAAATTCCTTCAACTATGATATAAATTTTAATTTAGCAATAATTTGGCTGAGAATGTAATTTACAGATTTGGGAAAAAAAAAGTGCATATGGCAGCTCATCCAGTTGGTGTAAGTCCGTTTCCTCAACCACCGGAATATGCTCGTCAATATACGGATGCTAACGTAGCAAAGAAGAATGTATTACCACCACCGGCTGTACCATCAGAATTTACGGTTTTTGGCGAGGAATACAATTTCGAGGAGGTTTCCGATTTTTCTTCTATACGAACCATTTTTCTCTCCTCCTGGACTTAGAATATCATTTTTATCTTGCAAAGAAAAATGCTAAAATGATTTGATTAGTTTAGATAGTGTTACTTTCTTTTTTCCTCTTTCTCTTATTCTTCCTGTACTATTTAATTAGTTTAATTCCTCTATAAAAGTTGAGAATGCCTGCTGTTTAACCATTATTATTACTCTAGTTATTGGCAAAATTGTTTGTAGAATTTTCACAATTTTTGGTCTTCTCGAATAATTTTGAAATCCTTTGGAATGATAATGTTTTTTGAACGGAGTGAGTTGGATTAAGATTAATTTCTATGAAATCTGGCAGAATTGCCTTTTTATATGTTACAGAAATTAAAATAATTTTGTAGGAAATGATACGATCGCTACAATCTCAGAAAATGCAGCAGTTATTTTCGAGTAATGGCGACTGGAGAAGTGAACTGAAGAAGTTGAACAGGAGTACAGTTGCTGCATTCCTTGATCTTCTCGATATCCTCATACGGTATGCTGATAGTTTATGGCTAAACAGGAATACGATTGTATGGCTACACTATGACTTAATTTTTTCCTCTTTGATTTTGTGGAGTTAATTACCGTGACTGGATCCAAACGACGATAATCTGATCCTTCAAATTTTTATTCAGAATCAGAACTAATGCAGATGGAAGATAGGATGAGGGAAGAAAAGCGGTAAAAGTAGCTGTCTTTTAACAAACTTTTGTGGAGGCATCACTTCATCCTTTTGAGACATTAACGATGCAATATTTCCTCTGAATAAGGAAATAAATAGGCATTCCGTGCAAAGATTGTTGTAAACAGTTTAGTGAAAAAAGCACGAAGAAAAAAGAGAAATCTTGATTTGAAAAATAATGATGAGGATCGAATAGAATACAGTTTGATATAATGGACAAATCTTTAAACCTTCATTTACACCGCTTTTTTTTTCTTGCTGTGCGGTGATAAATGCTGCTGTAGGAATACCAATTTCGAGAAAATGATATTGCTTATGTACTATTATTAGTGAGTTGATTTTGTCAATGTGTTCACTGACAAAAAGTGGGATATCCGAAATGAAAAAACTTAAACGATGACATGATTGTTAAGACGAAAATATATAGTTTTTGGTTTTTCTAATCTCATCCATTATAATGCTATTTCAAGATGTCCAAATCATCCAGAGCGCCTGGAGAAAATCAATAATCTACGTCTTCTTTTCATCAATATGCATCATCTGATAAATGAATATCGGCCGGTGCAGGCGCGAGATGCGTTGCAATCGATGATGAAATTACTGATTAAAACGATTGAGGTATATTTCCTCTATAGGACTGCAAGTTCACCATATGTTATTTCTGAAGTTATACCCGAAAACTGGCCTGTAATTGATAAATCCTATTTGGTAATATATCTCAGATTTTCAGGAAGTTACGAGTCGCTTTCGCACATACTTGGCGATGGGTCATGAGGCATTAAATCAGGTTATTGATGAGGTACCTCCGGTACTTTCAGCCTCTCCGGTGCTTAATACTGAGGTATCATTTTTCATTTATTTTTATTTTAATGTTTTGCTCGTAAATAGTGGCTTTCTCGTTACTAGAAATCTGATCACAGTGAATTACTCACTTTTCGAAACCCCATGCTTAAAGTTTTTCTAGATTTGAAAATTTTGCTCGATTTTCGAGATTTCCAGGATATGAATATTGGTGAGTCGATGGAGCAGCGAGTTGGAACAATGGAAGGTGCAGTTACTAAGCGGAGGAGTAGCTATGATGAAGCCCGAAGACAGCCTTATCGCGGCGAGAAGCTTGGAGAAGAGATGTTATGCTTTGTGAATTGCTAGACAATATGAGCGATACAGATTCAGAAAGGCGACTTTCGCCTTCCACAAGTAGAGTTCAAATGGAATATTGATCTATTGCAAAATTTCCACGATTTAACTTAAAATAAGAAACTGATTTTGAAAAACTTTACGCAGTTCACTACCCATTTATTGTGAATATTACTGGTGCAATAGCAGTATTATCGATGTGAATTTGTTACCAATTGTAAAATAATTGTGCCAGCTGTTTATCGTACAGAGCTTGCGAATTGTATAAATTTTTCTGCATCATATCTGATGAAAAGAAATATTGAAGCATAATTTGTTGTAAAAAGTATTTATTCCAGTGCATATCTTCATGTTTCATGAATTTGAATGGAGCGTAATTTTCGGTTTTTTATGTTTGCGAATGATTGGTGGTAAAACCATTCCAAATGACATAATGGTTGCATTATTTGATCAGCATTGAATTGAAATAATATGTAGGAATGTTTGCTGTTGAAGTAGAGTTTTTTATAAACAATTTCCAGACGAAAATCCGATGTTTTTATTGCAGGGGCGTATATACGTTTGTAAAAGATGTAAGAGAGAACTGAATAGTGCGTACGGCAATATAGAGAAACTGTCTACTCATATATGCATTGGGAAGTGATTCAAAAAACATTAATTCCAGACAATGTTAGTCATAAATTGGAAGGAATACAAAACATTGTTTAACAAATCAAGATGATGCTGTGTTTATAAAATACTTGAAATTACCCTAGAAATGCAAATTACGTACTACAATACTGTTTAATACAAATTTAATACGGATTTAATTATTGAAATTAGATAGTTTTTGCTATTTGCAAAATTTAGTCTGGGATTATTTTTTCTTTTTTTTGAAAAAAAAAATGGCGAGAGAAAATTGTACAGATCATTTCTGGAGTGGAATTTATTAGACATCCGGATGCCATGCATATATTTGATTTTCTGAATTTTTTTGACATATTTGCTAAAATTTCTTGCTAACCAGAGATATGGAAGGTTGACAAGTCCAACAGTCTATTGGTATTATTTATTACATCATATTTATTGGTTTTCTTTCTGGTTTCATCTTATGGCCATTTTCAGGTGATCTTTTTTTTCTCAAATTTTAGGATGCCTGAATCGAGCAGACGATATGGATCCATTCACATTCCAGCTCGAAATTCTCGTCATCCATTGCTGTGCGCTGAATGCCATAAACGATTTCAAACAATACAAGAATTATATTTACATTTGGAAGTATGCATCATTGAATCATTTGAAAATGAAGCTGTCAATGTATTTTCAAGCATGCCATCATTAACAGAATCAACTACTGTTTTTTCCCTTACGACACATGCTGGAATTACGGCTAAGGTATGTTTGTTCTCTAAGGGCTTCATGAAAAAGCGAACGTAATAACTAATTTAACTATGCGAACTTTAACCAGCTTTACAGTATTGATTTTTCGTGATTTTACACGTGTAATTAATTCGCGGCGATAAAAATTTAAAATGAGAAATTGCCTTGTTATTTGCAGGGTAAGAGATTTCTCAGTTCGAATTAATTATGCACGTGAAAAAAAAAGGAATTTGAAAATGGATATGAGTTTTTCAAGCCCATTTTTGAATATTCTATTGGGAAATTCAATATCTTCATATATGGTTATCTTTTTTCCTGTTCGTAGGGCGATGATCCTCCAATCTTGATACCGGAAACGAATAATTCAGCGAGCACTTCAAAAACAAATCTTCCACTGTCAGCAAATTGTAAAGCAGAATGTTCACCGGTTAAAAAAGCAGAAGTAGCAGCAATGACGGGAACGTCAAAAACAACACCTATTTCATTCAGTTCCACATCAGGATCGAAACAACAGTATTGGTCATCTTCCGAAAGGTTTACTTGCATAATCATTATAAAGTGAAGCTTTTAAGAATAAATTTTAAATATTTCATAAAGTAATAGTTTTCAAGATCTCTTGGAATAGTTGGTTTGTTTGAATAGAAAAAAAAGTCTTTATTTCAGGCCCCACAAAATACCTTTTGAGCTGGAAAATGCGCGAATATTAGAAAGTCCTGGCGGACTGAAGATTTATGTGTCGATTGAAAAGCAAAGTGGGCAAGAAAGCGATGATGTCATTAATGGCAATGATAGCTATAGTTATGGATTTCAAAGTTTTACGCTTCTTAAAATTCCATAAAATGCAAAAATTTTTTTCGCATAATTCAACTTTAAATTCTCCATATTGAATTCTCTTTTCCTTCACATTCTATTCATTTGTTTTAAGAATGGATAGAGTGTTGTTAAGTCGATTTGATTGTATAATTCGAGGATTATTATTGGTTTCAGAGTGACAAGTTACTGAAATTGTATTTCAATTTAGATACACACGGTTCTAATGCAACCAATTGCAAAAGGAAAGTAATTGGGGCACCAGCAAGTGCTAATGATGATGATATTTATCGGCCGAAAATGGAATGTCCAACATGTGGTCTGGTACTTTATAAGCATAATTTTGGTACCCATTATCGGATACATACTGGTGAATTGCCTTTTGTTTGTACATATTGTCAAAAACGATTCCGAACAACATCTGCGTTAAAAGTTCACGTCAGGTAAAAAAATCTTGTAAGTACATTTTAAATCTAAAAAAACCACGTGATTTTTTTTATGAAACTGGATATTTGAGAAAATGTTTCACTTATCGTTGAACTGTAAATTCATTCATTCTTGGCTGTTTTTTCAGAGCGCATACCGGTGAAAAGCCTTATTCATGTCCAAAATGTTCCTACTGCTGTATCACTAAACGTAACCTTGATCGTCATATTATTAACAATCATGTTAGAGAAGGAGAAAGACGAGGTACACTTGTAACTTTCGGGAAAAAATTCTTTTCAAATGAAAAAGAGTATTTTTGTCCCTACTATTAAGATTTAAAATGACAAGATTACTGAAGATTAGTAAGTTAATTTCCCTTGAAACATTCTTTGGAAAATTTCATTAAGGACCACGAGAACGAAGATCACGATATAGGAGGGATGAGTACAGCGTTATCATTGATGATATTGAAATGAGTACTGCTGAGGAGAGTGAAAAAATAGACCATCATTATGTTATCTCTCCGGCAGAGATAGAAAGTAAGGTTGTGGTAAGCCCCTACTTTGAAATATTTTGAACATATGAATCCTCATCACTTTTGTAAAATGAATGAGATAATTGTGAAATAAATCTTTATCAGCACTTGTAAAGAATGGGAATGTGTCTCTCTAAAATATTTTTTCAAATATAAGGAAGTGACTAGGGTAATATGGTAGACTTGGGGAATTAAATTAACGATACTTGTGATTGCTGTTGTTATCAGCATTTTTACAGGTGGAAGGAAAGGCAAATGATGAAATGGAAGGCAGTGATGATAATAGGCAATCAGTTGATATACCCATTCTTCCTTTGCTTACTTTATAGATATATAATCCCTGAAATTGCTCAGTCAGAAGTTGATATGCTCAGTTTACACATGCTTGTATGTTTGCTTACACCAATAAAGTCTATTTCTTAAAGTCCGACATTTGAATATTCCTTGAGAAGTTGAAGCCTAACAATAATTTACCGAAATTTACTATTTTGTATCAGAACTTGCGGTGCCATACACTATGATATATGATATTATTGATTGGTTCTTCGAATTTCTTACTCGCAAATTATTGAATGTATCGACTTCAGTGCAAACACTGTCATTTGTTTTTGTATGAATGCAAAAACTACTTATTAGACTTCAGTTTTGTCTTCCTCTTTTGTTTCGAATGATTTAGAGGAACTCTTTTCTTCTTTTCTGTTTGAAGGTCATTTTGTATGAGCGATTTGAGTAAGTTAGACAATGAAACGGATCGATTGCTGCAAGCATCACGAATTCGGCTGATAATGCGCGAAATGTCGCCATGCATTGCGAAAAGGGCTATAGAATATCGCAATGATCCCTCAAACTCCAAGTCGCTTCTGGATGTTTTAGAACCGTAAGTTGCATTTCATGTCCCAGCATCAACAGATAATTATTTGATTTTCAGTGTATTGTTTCTTACTTTTTGCAGGATCTGCCGATGTTTCGAAAGCATTGCATTAGAAGCGGTTTCTCTAGCAGATAACGGCAATGTATATTTACTCAAAGATCCTATCCATGGTCGAAGTGTATATGAAGTAAGTCAGGAGAATGACAAGATGATGAAAAATTGTTTATTCTAGCTGCTTATTGTAAAAGTTATAAGTTCACATTTGCCCATATGGAAATATTGTTCGGATAAGTTGTGGAAAAAAAGAAAAGGAAATGGAAGTGGTTAGAAACCGCGAAACAAAAGTAAATTACTTTAACCATAATTTTAACAAATTATGCTTATTTTATTCAGGTATCCGGAACACATTCCCAATGTACCTATACTTGCCTTCCACTGATCAATTACTGCCAATGTTCACAATTCCTCCAGGGAGGTATGTTAACCTATCAGTTGCTTATCTATTCGTCAGAACAACTTCGAAACTTTTCGCACATCCTATGTGGGATCGACTATGATGTTCTTTTTTTGAAAAAAATGGATCGAAATAAGTTGATGAATTTTTGTAGGCAAACACAAATTAAGCATTCTATCACATAATGTTACTGTAATGGCTAACAGACTTATTACTATTGTCGGGCGGGTTTTTTGGCGATCTTTATTAAAGATAGATTTGGCGATTTATTATGAGTAAGAAGACTGTAGAAATTTTATTATGATAAGAATGATATTTAGAAGATGCTTATTTTGGTAATGCTTTCGTTGTAGGTATTTTCAATGCAATTAAGTGTGGATTCATTGAAGTTTTAAATGAGCTTAGTTACGCTTGGTAAGGTCCGACTTATTTTACTTGAGATGTAATAGCACTTTAAAGAATTAAAGATCTATAAAAAATTGAATGAACTCTCTCGTAGTATCATGAGTGCATGATTATGACAGATTTTGCTATGTGGTATGTTATAAATTAATAACTTCCATCTTTTAATGGTAATTTTTTTCAGTTATCAAACGACAGCGATCATTTACGGTAAGTTCTATGTTGAATTACCTCTAAGGTTACCAATTTATTTTAAAAAATTTTTTTAGACTGAATGATTTGCTATTATATAGATGAAAGTAAAAATAAAACCTAAAAAAGCATTACTGTCGAAATTTAATTTTCCAAGATTGAACGAAAGTAATTATTTGATATTATTTCAGCATTTTGCTATGTACAAGTAATCTTCGTATGTATAATTTATTATGTCGATATAAAATCTAGTAATTGGTTATGTTAAATAATTATTCTCTTATATATTTCATTTTTTTTAATGCTTAAGTATGTTATTTTCAAGAAATAAAAAAGACTTGTCATGTTACTGGTTATGTTTATCATAGTTCTTTTCCTCGGTTGTTTATTAATTTCCTATGTATATATATATATATTGTTTTTTTATTTTCCATTTTCAGTTAGTGGGGATATTTTATTTTTGCTTTTAAAAAAATGAAAAATACCATTGTTTTTCGAATATGTACAAGGAAGTGATATCCTAATTATCAGTAGCTGATTATGGGGATAGATTGATAAACGCGGAGCGGTTTGAATTTTAACATTATGAACCTTTTTGTTTATCCGTACCAGCCGTACAATTATACCGATGTTGTATGAAAAACTAGGTGGCAAACTTACTGTTATAATACGGGATATGATAGTTTGTGAAAGGTAAAAGCATCTTCGGAAATATTAATAAGTATAGGAGGATTTCGAAACACTATACATTTAGAATCCTGAAGGTTTTTTTTCCAAAACTTTAATAATATTCGTCAAGTCTTGGAATATTGTTGACAAGCTTAGTACGTTATAGCAGTATTTTGCATGAAATTTTCTTGATCATTTCAGATTGAATGTACCAATGCGTGCTTTATTTGTAGCTGAAAAAAACGATGCAGCCAAGAGTATCGCAGCAATCTTATCACGTGGTACATCAACACGACGTGATGGTCGTAGTCGTTTCAATAAAATTTACCAATTTGTTGCAAATGTAGGGCGTAAGTTACTTTCTGTTCTTATTTTATAAACAATTGACAGCCATTGTTGCATACATCACATTATATTATTAATGTATGTCATGTTTGATGTTGTTACATTTTTATAAAGAATTTAAATGGATAAGCCTTGATTACTTATTTAAATCAGTTCTGTTAAAGAATTTAAATGAGTAAGCTTGATTATTGTTCTTCTGATGAAGGATTGCATAATGATTAGTGAATATTTCAAATTTCATATGTAGGTCATGTTTTCGTTCTTTTCATTCCTTTGAATTTATACTTGAAATATGTAGATATTTAAAAACAAAAAAAGAAAGAAAAAGGCAAAAAACAACCCTACATACGTCTTTGAGATTTTTTTTGAGAAAATAAGTGAACAAAATATCAAATTGTACTAATCATTTCAGAAAACTCAGATTGTTATGTTGCGATGACAAGTGTCTCTGGTCATTTGCTTCAACATAGCTTTCCAGCATCTTTCAAAAATTGGACCGAAACTCCGATTAAGATGTTGTTCGATGTAAATATCCAGAAAAGTACTATTCCCGGAATGGAAGATGTTAAGGCTACATTAGTAGAGGAAATACGAAAATCTGATGTAAGTTTTAAATATGTTTCTAAAAATAATTATTTACTCAGAAGAATTGTTTTCTTTTCTTAATACTGAACATTGATCTGATGTTTCCTGAGGTATCTGTTTGGTTGGGAATCGTTTATTTTCGAATATTGACGGCAATTTCAAAGGTCGATTGTAAATAATTTCTAATTAAAAAAATCAAGTGCTCCTTGAAAATATGAAACCACCTAACTGTTAACTTTGACTTGAAAATATTTTGTGTTAATTGTTTTTATCACTTCAGTTGCTTGTTATATGGACCGATTGTGATCGAGAAGGTGAAGCTATTGGAGCTGAAGTGGTTTCTGTATGCACTGAGGTTAACCGTAACTTAGATGTTTATCGGGCTCGATTTTCTGAAATTACAAATACAGCTGTTAATCGTGCCCTGAATAATTTGGTTAGGTTGGATCAACGGTTGGTGGATGCCGTTGAATGTCGGTTCGTTGTTTCTAATTTGTTTCAGATATTAATTTCATTTCCATTATTAACAAATTTATTTATTCTTTCTTTTTCTCGTTGAAATTTGTATATACGTTCTGATTTATTTCAGTTCAGAATTGGATTTGCGAATTGGTGCAGCATTTACTCGGCTACAGACGCTTCATTTAAGGTCTCCTTTTGTGTTTCATTTACATTTAATGCTAATTTTACTATTTGTAGTGACCATATTTAAATGCTGCAATTTTAATAATTTCCAGGAATAACTTCGCTAATATATTTCGGGATAAAAATATCGTTAGTTATGGTTCATGTCAGTTTCCAACATTAGGGTTCATTGTGGAGCGCTATCAAGCCATCAAAGAATTCATTTCGGAAACATTCTGGAAGATTTCTATGAAGCATACTCGAGAAGATATTATGGTTGAATTTGTTTGGGATCGTCAAAGGCTTTTTGATCGTGATGTTGTCCAGGTAAGTGGACCCACAATGTCGGAAAGTGAATTTTATTTCCTCAATTAAATTACACGTTTGACTTTTTATGAAACAGAAGAGTCAGAAGTGATTTACATATTCAACGATATAGATTTTTTCTTTTAGGTGCTCTTAGACGATTGTGAGGAAGCAAGAGAAGCCCGAGTTTTATCGGTAATAAGAAAACCGAAGAGTAAATGGAGGCCTGTCGCACTTGACACTGTTGAACTTGAAAAATTAGCTGTTCGGAAGTTAAAATTCAGCGCCAAAGAGACAATGGTTGTGGCTGAACGTTTGTATAATAAAGGTGATTGTTAGTTTGTCTGTTTACTGGGAGACAGATTCTCCATTCCTTGCTGTTTTATTTCTTAAAATGATTCTAGATTTTCTAAAATACTGTTTTGCATTTTAATTTATAGGAATTATTTTTGTAGGTTACATATCATATCCACGTACAGAGACAAATAAGTTTCCGAAAGATATAGATTTGAACATTTATGTGCAACAACAAACAGTAAGTGGAGAATGGGGGGAATTTGCGCAAGAGGTTAGTTCAGGTTTTTAGACAATTTGGTATCCTTAATTTATATCGGAAGAAAACGATACATCTCTATTCTTCAAATTAAAAAATTCTTCGTTACTATACCATTGACATGACACACACAGACATTTTTTTAACGAATATTCTTTATTATCATCACTACATTGTCACACATGTAACCACATCCCAGCGGTCCTTTTCTGTGCAAGTCTGATTTCCATTTCATGACAAAGATGCATGTATATGTCGCATTATTAGTATTTTGATTAGAGAATATCTTTCAAAAACGTACATTTGTGTTTTACATTACTAGGTAGTACGCTTTAAACTAACAGCAGTTGCCAACGATTTCTGATTGGAAAGTGGTAATTGCTAAATTTTTTTTTCCTTTAGGTTGCTGCACATGGACCAAGTCCGAGAAATGGTTCAAAAACCGATGAAGCACATCCTCCGATTCATCCATTAAAATTTGCTACAACAAATGAATTGATTGGACTGGAATGGTCGCTCTACGAATTCATCGTACGACATTTTCTCGCTTGTCTTTCTGTCGACGCAAAGGGACAAGAAACTAAAGTTCAGGTAAGCCAGACTGTAGTCATGCTACGGTCAACCTTATTATATCATACTTTTGCATCTCTTAAGTTTTTTCTTCAGTTTAGGTTCGTTTGGGCAACGAAAATTTTACGGCATCAGGACTTATAGTTGAAGATTATGGCTATCTAAATGTTTATAAATATGACAAATGGGGTGATAAAATTCTGCCTTCTTATCGCGAAAATGAAATAATCACTGATTATCAGTTACAAATAACGGAAGGACAAACCCAGCCACCTCAGTTGCTTAATGAAGGTACTATTATATGACCCTCAATGCATTCTTCATTTGTTCTCGGAAAAGATTATTCCAGTTAACGAAATTTGAATTCAGGCATATTATACACTATAACTTTAAATTTTCATGAAACATGGATTTACAAGAACAAAAAGATCTTAAAAATGACTTTTCACTAGCCTAATTTTTCTTATTCCAGCTGATTTGATTGCACTGATGGATAAATACGGTATTGGAACGGATGCAACGCATGCGGAGCACATTGAAACAATTAAAACGCGTCAATATGCCGCATTGAATAGCGATGGGCGTTTTGTTCCGGGCTATATTGGATTAGCACTTGTTGATGGATATGATCGGATGGGTTATGCTATGAGTAAACCTCATATGCGTGCTGACTTAGAATCGCAACTGAAACTAATTTGTCTTGGACAAAGGTTAAATTTTTCTCTCGTTTTTATTTTCAATTTATATTTTCCGTGGATTTAATTGTTTTCGGAAAATTTATACAATGGTTATTGCTGGGGTTGATTTATTGATTGAGGTCGTTGTTGGCTTTTTAATTTTAAATCCAATAATGCTGAAAGATTTTGACTGACCGAAATGAGGCAAGAAATGTATATCTTTCTCTTTTCGTTTCAAAATTTCAAAGTTAATAATGATCGAAAGGTTTGTAGAAAGAATCTTTCAGGAATAGGGATGATGTGCTTAGGGAACAGATTGCTAGATATCGGGCAATATTTGAACAAGCAGAAGATAAAGTTCAAATGTTGTCAAATGCCTTACGTCAATATTTGAATCAACGTGAAAATCTTCCTGAGACAACGATACCGGAAAATGAGCAGAGGAATAATCTGCAACCACCGAATAACACGCGCGTCGCAACTGGTCGTGCCTCTTTAACATCAAGAAATACTACTTCCACAAGGCGTGGTAGAAGTGACAAATCGGGAAGTCGTGGTGCTAGCCGATCGACTTCCAGAACGGTTAATAGTGGGGAACAATTGGCAACAACCAATGCTAATGACATTGAGCTTCTTTCATGTATTTTTTTCTTAATTTCACTTTTTTTGTTTTGTTTATTTTATTTTTCTTTCCTAGAAATTCTCTTTTGTTGAGCTTCCTAGTTTAAAATTTTATCTCTCTCAGTCTTAAAATTGCTATCTGTAGTTATAGTAAATACATTTAGTCTTAAATTATGAAGCTTAGTGGAATATCCAAAAACTTCTGAACTTTATTTAGCCCTCTCTATATTGCATTCAAATAGTGGAACGCGAGGACGAAAAAAGGCAATCACCAATGCAGGTGGTGGTTGTGTTAGAGGTCGGGTTAGAGCTGTACAAGGACGACAATGTTCCTGTGGGAAAGCAGCAAAACGTCTGATTGTTAAAAAGGAGGTCATTCCTTGAATTTTTGTCATATAACTTAATAAAAAATATAATAAGCGAGTCAGTAACTCAAAGAAACTTTCCTGCTGTCTAAATAACAGCTTCCATCAAACTTCTTAATAGCAAAACTAGCTAAAAAATGACATTTCTAATCATGGTAGTCATGTTTTAATGTCGAATGATAAGGCTGAGAATGAATCACTTCAACACTGCAGTCCATCAAATTGATGTATAAAGAATTCGGTTAATTTTTAGGGTCCAAATCATGGTCGTACCTTCTGGATATGTCCCAAAGGTCGAGATGATCCTGAGAAGTGTAAATATTTCGAATGGGACGGACCCAAGAATAATGAACCATCATAAAAATGCAATAATTTGTTGCATAAATTTAACCAGTCATCTTATGATTTTGTCTGTAAGATATAAAACGCCTGTCATTTTAAGTGCCTTTGTTGATTCATGAAAACTCATTGTTTTTTGTTTTATTGTTTTAATTTCTCTGTTGTTTGAATTTGATATGTTTATTGTTGATTATTCTTGTTATGTAAGGAATGCTTCAAATTTATGCTAGAATCATAGGAGTCAAATTTGGGTCACTAAGTTGGATATTTGCATTAATGACTGAACGGTCGTTTCATAGCTCATGTTCTATTTTTTTCTGAACGATCGTTTCATTGATTAAAAAAGCTCATGTTCTGTTTTCATTTCGAATTAAAATGATGCTTACTAATTATATTAGCATATAAAAAATGATTTAATATTACGATAGATTACGACCCGTAGGATCAACTAAAATATTAGACCGGTGATAGATGACTAAGAAGGACCAGTTCATTATAGGATCAAATTGCAATAAAAAGTTGAAAAATATGGGGTGGAGTGAGAAATACGAACTGTAAACCAAATTAAGAATGTCAACTTATTGTTGTATCAAAGTGTTTGTCAAAATTTGGTTTCCTTATGGTAACGTTAATTCATCGAGAATTGTTTCAGTGTCCGCACGTACTAGCAATATGGTTTGCAGAGCTGTTCGGAAAGGTGACAACGAGAAGTGTTGGATCTCATACGATCTCATTGGCGATCAAACAACTTTCAACACATGCATATGAATTTCATTGAGTTTTTTCTTCCAAAATATTTGTTGCAAGGATATGTTAATGTATTGGGAATTGCTTATGTCTAGATTTTAAGATCTGATTAGATTAAAAACAGGAAAAAAGACATGATCAAGTTATTTTTGGATTTGTTGACATTACGGATATGCGCGTAATTTAGCGTACTGTTCGAATTCGTACTCATACAATCTTGAATTTTGAGATTGAATCCACACTATCCCAAACATTTGAATTCCTATATCTAACATTAATTTTCAACTGTTATCGATAAATAATTAGCAAAAATTTCCTCAAACAAAAGTACTAGGAAACAAAACGGAAAATATCCGTCAATGTTTGTGTTCTGTAAATCTTATCTTTTTCTGTGCATTAAATGTTTTTTGATTTATACTGTGAAGTAGAGAAAATGTTACGGTGTTGGATTATGTGCATTTTATTATAGTTAAATACTTTACAAGTTGAAAGAATTTCACAAAATAACACAGTTGAGAACAACAAAATTTTATGATGAAGCTCGAGTTTCAAAGTCGCTCTGCCCACTTCTGACCGGTTTTCATTCACTCCCGTAATTGGCTTTTACAGAATGACTTTATCCAGACAAAATTGATACTAGCGTGGAAAAAAAAAAGGAAGAACTTTAAACTGAATAATCTCTATTTACCAATTTTTGGAGTAAGACAATGAAATCCATGAATTAAAATATGGAAGCGTCGGTAGACGTATTTTTCACACGACTTTAAGAGGAAGTTCAGTTTCAAAATCAATCTACCCACTTCTGGTCGGTTTTCATCCACTTTCGTAATCTTCATTTGAAGGATTTCGGTTTCTCACTAATTTTCCCATGGGAGATAAATTGTGCAAGCTGTACTACAATGTATAAGCGTGGACGAAGGACTGAAAATTCATGCTGTTTTCCACAGTTTGTTAGCATATTCCATGATTGAGTCGTATAAAGTAAATGTTAATGCGACATCGAGACAAACGCGACATAGCCGAGGTATAGTACCTTTGTAAAATCTAAAATGAATGCATTTAGATGGAAATTTGACCTCATAACAAGGGGAAGAAAAATTTGCCAGTATAATACGCCGAAAATATAGCTAGTATAAAATATGTACCGCAGAGATATTTTTTATCTTCTATATGTGATACAGTGTTAGCACAAAAAGATGTGGTCAGGTTCAAAAGCTCATAATATAAACAAACAAAACTCTCCTTCATGCGATCTATATGATGTTTACCCAGTTTAGAAAAATCTGAAGCTCAAAATAAAGATAACCCGTTTGACTGGTATGTCTTGAAATACTTTGGAGTAATTTTTTGAATTAAATTAGAACTTACGCGAAGAATCCTTCGTTTTTAAAATCTGATAAGCGCAGTTGATTGTATTCTTATATTTCTTAGCTTCTAAACCTTGCATCCGAGTTTTCACAACATCAATTGGAGTATTACCGTATACGGAGCATGCACCAGCAAATGCACCAAATAACGCTGTAACTGGTTTACTGACCGTCTTCGAACTATCTCCTCCACGATACCTGCCATCAATAATTTACCAGTTGTTTTTTGCAAAGTTTAGTATTATCAATAGGCAATAACAAATATGAAATTGAAAGTAAAATTAATGTTGAGGAATGGCAAATATTTTTTACCAGTCTTTCAAAGTTTCCATTACGAAAAATCGTATTGCCTGGTTAGAACCTTGTTTTGCCATTGTGGCTGTAACACCTTGATATAAACCCTGCAATATTTGTAATATTTTTGACATGATTATTTTGAAGATCATGCTAGAATAATAGGAAGCAATACATTTACGGAATTTATAAAACACATAAAGAAAAACACCAACCCGGAAGCCTTCAGTTTGCACAATTGTCTTCAAACCACCGAAAAAGCCTTTGAATTTTGGTTTAGCCAACTGCCTATCATGAATAAATTTCACTTTAATAGTTTCCATTGGTGTAACAGCAAATACTGCTTCCGAAAGACCTGTGAAAACCTATTTACCTTGATAGCGCTAAAAGTGAAAATTGGCTACAAATTTCATCAGTGCTTTGTAGTTCGTACTTCTATTCTGAACATCTGCCCAAACAGGCAACAAGATACCATTCAGATATCATTATGGATGCTATTTAAAAAGATATATAAATCTTTTACCTGCACCAAAACCACAAAAGAGTCGCCACATCGGTGTAAGATTGCCATTCGAATCAACGGCATATCCCTTCAAAGTTTCAAATGTTCCAAACCTGGAAATTTAACCGGATAATCCCATTCTGATATTACTGTTATACTAGTAGTATTTGAAGCATGAAAAACAGCAAATTTAGTTGTACCTAAATGCTGATTTTGGAATAGAACCATAGACTAATATGGGTAATCCGCGATATAATCCTAAGAATCCGTTGGTTTGAACCGTTTTTTTAACACAGTCTATTGGACCCTGAAATGAAGTGTAACATTCAAATCTAATACAGTAATCTATCTAATGAAGGATTTCTGTAAAAATTCAATTTCTACCGTGGAATTTTGAAAAAAAAAGACATGTAATACAAAAAACTAATACAAAAAGTAATACAAAAAATAATAATACAAATATAATACAAAAAAGTAATACAAAAAACTACTAAGTACAGTAATCAAAAAGGAAATAACTCTATAAATTGGATGTGCCGAACGTTCATCTAATTGTAATTGTGTTTTAACATATTCGGTTGGAAATGTGATACATATTTCGATACCACCGGTAAATCCACCGATAACAATACCTTTCATTGATTTATCTGTTGGTAAAAAACGAGGGAAAGCAGAAAACGATGAAAATATTTGACTGTTTTCTGCGCTAAATGAAAGGAAATATCTATAACATTTGCAAAATATATTTAAATATATTTAAGCTTTAACATATGATTTGTTGAACATAGAATTTATATTATTTGCAAAATTTCTTCATTTTTTTTCTTCTTTGATATTTGATAATTTGTATTTCAAATGTTTACATATTTAATATACATATATACCAAAACTGAAATATTTCATAAAATTTATTACCAATATGTCATATTTTCATTTATAATTAGTAAATAAACGAATTTATATGGATAATCTCTAATTTGTAAAAAATTAGAAATGAATAAAATTTCAATTTTAACTCGCCCTAACGTAATAACTAACTATTTGCTAATATTAGTGCCATCGGTTGTTTTCATCCTCGCATCTGCTGCTAATTCGTTCTTCAAAGATTTCGTTTACCTCTACACGAGATCTGGCGAAATTTTTGCGACCCTGAAATTGCATATTAAAAAAATTTACTACTGAAAAGGAATATTTAATTAATTTGATTTAATGAAAAAAAAAGAGGGAAAATCATAATTACAATAAATGAATAGAAACATAAATGATAATTTTGTCCCACTGATAGCACTGATAAACATGACGTTTAAAGTAACAAAAAGTGCAAATGAACGCTAATAACTATCTATTTATCAAATATTAAAACACTTTTTCCAACTTTTTTTGTTGTTCAGAAAAGACTAATAAAATATCAGATTTGTAGTAATAAAAAAGAGAAACTTATTTGGGTCGATAGGGAAGAAGGAAAAAAAGGAATGGCAATATTACAAGTAGTTTAATAAGCAACTATTTAATAAGCCAGTTTTGGGGTAGTATTTTGAAATTAAATACAATGATAATTAGTGGTAAGTACGAAAATGATAAAATAATTACATAATGTTGTATCGTATTTCGAGGTATTTCCTGATAAAATCGTAAAAGACCACTAGAAAAAGGCTGGAAATTTCACTGCTAAATATTCAAACTGTCAATTTTCGATAAAATATCCTTCATTCTATATTTTGACCATTTCAACTTTTTCAGTTATAATAAAAAGAAAAAAAGGTAAAAAATGAAGGAAGAAAGATATAAGTTAGGTAGCTAAGAAACAAGCTGCAAATTCTCTTTCAATGATTTGAATTTAACAAATTCACGAATTTTAAATGATTGATTACTTGAAAATATATATTTATCATCCTTTTTCCAAAAAAAAATTTTAATTTGTCAGTTTTTAATTGGTGAAATTTGGTTCAAATATATGCCCCAAAATGGGACAGATAAGTGGGAAAAGAATGAAAATTCACGAAAATGTACCACCTGTTCATCATTTTGCTAACAAATCCAATAATGGAATTGAAATTTGAATTGAAATAATGCATTGATCATTCCGCTACAAATTTCAGGAAATCAATCCGAACAAAATATTTCGTTTCAAATATTTCCGAACTATTTCTTCATCTCTTTTTCTCTTTCCTTCTTTTCACATACTGCTTCTCGTCCCCTTTTCCTCTCTGTCCAATGCTGCATTCCATGCGATTCGGATGTAAAATTCGGAAATGACGAAAAAAAAGCAAATGAAGGAGGAAAATTTGGAAGTGACTAATTTTCTACCTCGATCTTCTTTTTTTTCCTGTTTGATTAGCAAATATTAACGATAGAAGTAAAGTTATCTGTATGTACATCGAACTTTTTAGTAATTCAAAGCATTGGTCGAGGTTGAATTTAATTAGTTGGAATTTATTGATTGCAATTGCGGTTATTTTATTTTTAATTTCTCTAATTAAAAAAAAAAAACTTTAATTCCTCATTTTTGTTTTTTCGGATGAAATATTCAAAAAAGGGTCAACAAGTATAATAATAGTATCAGCATGATAGTAAACTGTAATAGTAAACGTTAATATCGTAGTAGTAAGCTAGGTATTAATCAGTATCGTAACTATAATGAGTAAACGTTAATATCGTAGTAGTAAGCTAGGTATTAATCAGTATCGTCACTATAAATGAGTAAACGTTAATATCGTAGTAGTAAGCTAGGTATTAATCGGT